TACCAGGTACAGAGGGAGGGATGGGAATACAAAAATAAAAATTAAAGAGTCACTGCCTTCAAGGAGCTCACATTCTACTTTATACACATATGACTTTGTGGAACCTCACAACCCAATACATGAAAAAGGCTCAAAATATAATCAGCACCAAAGAAAATTTATATAAATTCATATGCTGGCAGAATAGCTTAGTGGAAAGATGGCTGGATTTTAAATAAGAGGGTTTCAGTTAACATCCTATTTCTACTGCTTACTACTAGATTACATGGACAAATTTTTCAATACTGCTGTGCATCAGTTTTTTCATGTGTAAAATGAAGGGGTTGAACATGGTCTCTAATATCCATTTTAACTCTAAATCAATGAATATGAACAGATGCAAAATGGATGATAAAACTAGAATATTCAGGAGATATTCCTAACCTTGGAACATGGAGAAATAAAGAGCAATCGTGATGCTCCTGAGTATGCCTATCAGAGATCCTGCTCCACAGAGAAAGAAGTGATTTTTGCAAAGTCTCACAAGGAAATTATTGAAAAGAGAATAATATGGATGCTGTTTATAATGATAATGATACTAACAATAATAACTACCATGTGGTTTCAAAAGCAATTTTCATATCCCATTTGATTTCATAATACCCCATATTCCAGGGGAGGACACTGAGGAACAGAGAAATTAAGTGCTTTGATCAGGGGAACATGATGTCTGAGGCAAGATGTGAATTCAGTCAGGGATTCCTGATTTTACCTACTATGCCATCTGCCTGCTAGCAACTGGGATTTTATAGCCCTTAGAGGCACCTTGGTGGCACAATAGATCAAGCCCTAGACCTAGATTCAGGAAGAACTGAGTTCAAATACAGCTTTGCACCTTAATAGAATAGTTCTCTGCTCCTGGATAAGTCACTTAATATCTGTCTGCCTCATTTTCCTCATTTTTAAAATGGATATCATAATAGTAACTGTATTTCGTGATTATTTTGACTATAAAATAAGATAATATTTGCAACATATTTGTTTAGCCATAATTCTCTGTGACCACACGTACCATATCACTCCAATACTTTGCATGAGGTTTTCCTGGCAAAGATACTGGAGTGGTTTACCATTTCCTTCTCCAAAGGATTAAGGTAGACAGAGGTAAAGTAACTTGCCCAGGGTCACATAGCTCAGAAGTGTTTGAGAACATATTTGAACTCAGCCCTTCCTGAATCCAAGCCCAGCACTCTATCCACTGAATGACCTGGCAGCCTAATGTTTGTATAGTTCTTTGCAAATATTGAAGCCCTATGTAGATGATACATATTATGAACATTTTACTGACATTATTGCATTTAAGCTTCATGACAATCCTGTGAGGTAGGTACGAATGCTATTATTATCTCCATTTCACAGGTGAGGAAACGAGCTTGGAGAACCTAAGTGACTCACTCATAGTCACAAAAGGAACCAATAAGAGTCAGAGGTTGGATTTCAATCCAAGTCATTGATCTCATAGCTCAAAGAAAAAAAAAGCACGCATTTTTACACAATTTTAGGTGTACAAAGTGCTATATTAAAGTTATTTAATTAAAATGTAATAACACTTCGAGGTAAAGTCATCTCACACTCTCTTTCCAGAGATGAGGAAAGCAAAGCAGAGAACAATAAAGTGGATTGTCTAGTTTCATCCAACCCACAAGGCTCTGAGGAAGGATGAAAAACCTAACTCTTCCTAATTACAAGAACTGCTCCATTGCTACCGTGACACAATGATTCTCACTTTCCAGGACATTATCATGGAGCCATAACTGAGGATCCAAACCTAAAACCCAAGAGTCCAGACAAAGAGATGACATGTGAGTGAGAGAAAAGAAGAGAAAGAAAAGATTGAAATTTCTCCTCAGCTGACAAAGCCAAACCACCCACATATTCTAAGAGCAGTAAGATGCATTTTCAACTGTCTAAACGTATTCTGCTCTGAGAATTGCAAGAAAATCAGGGAATTTGGCTAATTAATCAGCTCCTAAGGAAAGGAAAAAATTTAATATAATTAATACAGTCACGCTTATAGACTTTATGAGAGAATTTCAACCTTTCCCAGGGCTATTCTGCCCTTGCCTGACTTCAATAATAAGTCTTAGTCTTATGGCACACAACTGAGTGACCCTTGAGAAAATCACTGAATGTCTTACCATCCCTCTCCCTAACTGCTGGTTGCCTAGGACATCATATGCTCTCAGGTTCCATCTGCCTCTCAATGCACATCCCAGAACATCTGCAAAGGTGCCTTCCCTACCTGGGCCTGAGAACAGAGGGACATAAAAGACAGAAATCTTAAAGGGGGTTATAATGTTTGTCTCTTGCCTCTCTCTCTGCCTCTCCACTGTGTGGCTATGAATAACAATGAGGAGAAATGACCCAAACATTGATGGTTCTAAAAAGACTCACCATTGCTATAAAGGAAAGAAAAGGGACCATTGGAATTAGAGGGGGAGAAATGGATAATATAGAATGCTTAGATTTAATGGGTCTTGTTTCACCTAAACATCCTAAAGGCTTCCCCAGATAGGATAATTGATCAATTCTTTATTGAAAATACAGATTTAGAAAGTACCTATAAGAAAAATAATTTGATCTCGGATTCTAAAGCAATGAAGCCTTACCATTTATTTGGATCAACCAACTTCATGGCAGAAGAATGGGCAAACCAATCCATCAGAGGAGGTTATCCAGATCCTCAAAAACCATCACTTGGTAAGTAACCCTGCAAGCTATTTTGTAAATTAGTCTCTGATAGGAACGCTCTTCATTGGTATTTTTCCTAATACCTTTTTCTTTTTCTTTCTTTTTGCTTTGTTATTCTACGTCATGTTTCTTCTAACGTCTTTGGGTCCAATTTAGTCACCCTTCTGAGGAAAAATTTTTACAACCTACCTGTTCTATTTATCTGTGCCAACATTGCCCAGATATTAAAAGGAAAACCTAGTCAGTGGTAAAATTTAAGAGCCCCTCAAAATCTCCCCTGACCAAAATTATCCTGAACCAAATACTGGGGTCTGAAATTTCCTGTAGATCACTGAGTGCACTGGGACCCCTCCTTATAGGTGATAATTTGATATAGTCTGAGAATCATCACACTACCATGTGGTGTAGCAAAAAGAACACTGGACTTGGAGTCAGAAGATGTGAGTCGAAATCCCAAATCTGATATTTATTTAATTATATTACATTGGCCAAGTTACTTTACCTCGCTGATACTCAATTTCTCATTGGTGAAAAGAATGAATATTGTCTGCTCTGACTACCTTCTAGAGGAGTGCTGAGGAAAATACATTATAAAAGTTAAGACTCCATAGAGATAAGAGATGTTTTTACACTCAACATTTTAACAGAGATTCTTAGCATCACTAGTTGAAATTTCAAGTACATTTCCTAATAAAGACATCAATGATTAGTTAAAGTAATGTCCTAAGTATCATGTTATGTATCTTAAGAGTAATTATAAATAAAATAGGTTTTAATGGGCTGAGATGAGAGCAGGTTCACATTTCCAAAAGCATCTATGGGGAAATGCAAGTTTAGTTCTAAGCAATCATCATCATCATCATCATCATTGTATTGAGATAGTGTATTAAAGTTGACAAAGTACTTTATACAATAACTCATTTAATCCTAATAAGAATTTTGTAAAGGAAGTGCTATTATTATTTCCATTTTACAAATGAGAAAACTGAGACTGAGAAAGGTTAAGTGACAGGGTAACACAGTTACTCAATGTCTGAATCAGTATTTGAACTTGGGTTTTCCTGATTCTACATCCAGTGTTCCATGTACTATGCTACTTGGATAACTAAGAAAAAGTGTAACCTATTAGTTGCTGATAAGTTAGGAATGTTTGTACTGCTACTGTTGGTTATGTTTTTTCAGGTGTTTATGTCATATCATATACAATATTGTTAGATCCAAGGCTGTGAGTGGGGTTTATATTTTAGACTATCCTCTATCCCCTTTCAAAGCATCAAGTACTGCACATAGCACATCTGCAATAGTTACTTTTTTAATGTTATCATTAAGAATAAATTTATATATAAAGCTAACATTTATATAGAATGTTAAAATTTACTGATGTGAATGTTCCCTCATGTGAGTCACTCAGGAATCTTATGAAGCACATTGAATAAATGAATGAAGCATTTACTAAGTGATTACTATAAGATAAACACTGTGTTAAGTGCTGGAGATAAGAACAGAAAAGTAAGTTTTTGCATTCCAGAGTTCACATTCTAATGGGAAGCCAACACATAACAGAAGAGGATGAATTATCATATTTAATAGAGCAGAGAGATTAAATGATTTCTTCTTTCCTACCTGATTATAAATAAAATCACTTTTTAAAGCGCTTAAATGTTTACAAAATTATAAATATATGTTTATACATATTCCATATGCATATATCTAATTTGGACCTCACAGCTAACCAGTGAATCAGAAACTACAGGCATCTTATCCCTACTTTACAGGTGAGGTTTAGAAAAGTTAAATGATTTAATTATGATGTGACAGAAGGAAGACTTCATGAAAAGACTAGAATGTAAACTACATGTTGAAATAGGAAATAGATATTATTGTTCATATTATGCAGGAATGATGTAAGCAAAGGTACAAAAGTGGAACAATACAATATTTATCTAACAATAATGACTCATTTACTTTGAGTGGAGTATCTTTCCCAATAGAACGTGAGATCCTTGATGTCAGAAACTGTTTTTATCTTTCTTTGTATGCCAGGTGTTCAGCAAAGTGTTTGACACATTAAAAGAACCTAATAATGCTCGTCTCCATGTATTTCAGTTCTTAGGTAATTAAAAATGTAGAATCAAGAGAAGTTCTGTTGCTAACACCTCTGACTTGATGTACACAAAGCCACAGAATCAGAGAATTTTAGAATAAAGAGTATCTTTAGAGATTTCTTATGTTGGGAAAAAAATGAGAAATGGGAAATAAAGCAGCCTATCATGCTCCCTTCTGTCTTCTTCACAGGTCTAGTAGTCTTGAACATATCAGAAGGAAACAGAGTGACTGAATTCATCCTCCTAAGCTTCCCCTGCCCCAGAGAGATGCAGATCCTCCTCTTTGCAGTCTTCTCTCTGACCTATGTCCTGACCCTCATGGGGAATGGGTCCATCATCTGGGCAGTGAGGTTGGATCAGCGGCTCCATAACCCCATGTACATCCTGCTGGCCAACTTCTCCTTCTTGGAAATCTGCTACATTAACACCACAGTTCCTAACATGTTGGCCAACTTCCTCTCTGAGTCCAAAACCATCTCCTTCACTGCCTGCTTTCTCCAGTTCTACTTCTTCTTTTCCACAGGTGTCACTGAGACATTCTTCCTAGCTCTCATGGCTTTTGATAGGTACCTGGTTGTCAGCCTCTTCACTACCCCACAATCATGACTGGACACTTCTGTATCAAGCTAGTGCTCTTCTGCTGGGTGACAGGTTTTCTCTGCTTTCCCGTCCCCATCTATTTTATGTCTCAATTGCCCTTCTGTGGCCCAAATGTCATTGATCACTTTATCTGTGATCCAGGCCCCCTCATGGCTTTGACATGCATCCATGCACCAGGAATTGAGTTTACTCTTTCTACTATAACCTCTCTTGCCATCTTCCTTAATTTCCTTTTCATTCTCGGATCCTATATCCTGGTGTTCAGAGCTGTATTACGAGTCCCTTCAGAATCTGGCAGGAAGAAGGCTTTCTCCACTTGTGGGTCCCACATGACCATGGTCTCTCTGTTCTTCGGAACTGTCTTGGTCATGTATATCACCCCAACATCAGGACATATAACTACAACCCAAAAGATTATCACCTTGTGCTATGCAGTGTTTACTCCACTTGTGAATCCCTTAATTTACAGCCTTAGGAACAAAGAGATGAAGAATGCCCTAATAAAAGTACAGATGAGCATGAAAATTTTTCCAAATAAATGAGATATTTGGAGTCTTCAATTGCCTTCTTCTCTTGCCCCTAATCACTCCCTAATGCAGCCTACATCTTGACCCATACCCCCAGGACATCATCTATTCCTTGAAATTATTCTCTGCCTCATCAGGGAAAAGTGAAAGCAGATTTTGGCTCACAATCAGGTTCACATACTTGTATTCTGACTGCCAGCTCCTTGACTTGACATACATGCCTGATATGAAGAAAGCAAGATGAAGAGAAGCTAAATGATCTTCCCATGGCATATCGAAGGGAAGAATGCTGGATGTGAACACAAAACACCTGAGTTTGAATCCTGACTCTAACATTTCCTGGGCAACCTTGGGAAATTCACTTCTCTGACTCTCCATTTCCTTATCTGTAAATGGAAGGACTTGGAAAAAATCATGGGTCAGAGATTTAGATGTGAAAAGAACTTCAGAGTTCATGTACAAAACCTCGTTTTTAGAGATAGTGAAACTGAGACCCACAGAGACTAAGTGATTTGCCCAAGGTGGTACAGGTAGAAAGGACACAGCACAGAAAAGATTTGAACTGAGGCCATCTGACTCCAAGACCAGAGCTTATTCCACACATCATGCTGCCTCTAAATTATCTTCCAAATCTAAATTTATCACCCTTTGACCTTAAGACTTTACCTACTCTACGGCACTTAAGTGACACAATGCATAGAGCACTGGCCCTGGAGTCAGGAGGACCTGAGTTCAAATACAGCCACAGACAGTTACTAAGTTTGTAACCCTGGGCAAGTCATTTAACCCCAATTGCCTCAAAAAAAAAAAAAAGACTTTACCTACTTTCACTTTTGAAACATACCTATATCTAAGATTGAAATTTCTCTTTCCGAACTCTCAACTGTGTACCTCCTCTTATTATCTGGTAACCTCATGCTCTTTCACGCTAATCTCAAGGACTTGGATTTCTTTGCTCCTAACAAAGTCATGCCCCAATGACCATGAAGCACTCCTTCATTCTATGACAATTTAACATTATTCAAAATTATGTCAAAGAAAACAGTTAATTTGCTCTTTTTTTCTTCTGTTCTATTTTCTTTCCTCTTTCTTGTGGTTCCTTCTATTGGTTCTAATTCTTCCTTACAATATAACTAATGTGAAAATATGTTTAATAGGAATGTATATGTACAGCCTATATCAGATTGCAGCCTGTCTTGGAGAGGGAGGCGCAGAAGGAGGGGGGAAAATTTTAAACTCAAAAGTTTATAGAAATGATTGTTGATAAATCAAAATAAATTAATTAATAAAAAAAAAGCAGTTAGTTCCACAGGAACAATTTTCATGCAAATGCAATATGGTAACAGTCAGCAGACCAAAAGAAATGATTCCTCACTAGGACTCAAAGATAAATTCAGATTATTGTCAACCTCCTAGTTTTAATTTCTGATGACTGGTAACTCTAGGGCTTTATTGGAATACCAGATCATAAGAGATAAGACTGTAATAGGAGAGCCCAATAATCTATTGCAATCTTAATCTACATTACAAAGGTATCCAGTGTCCATGACTATGAAGGTCATAATCCCACCATATTCTGCCTTGGTCGTACCCCATCTGGAGTATGAAGCTCAGATCTGGGTTCCACACTTTAGAAATAATACTAATATGCTAGAGAACATCCTTAGGAAAGGTCTTTGTAAGAATAAATTCAAAGACTGAAGATATTAATATCAGGATCGGGAGTGGCAAGGGAGGAAAAGTGATGTCTGGGAAAACATAAGAGAAAATCCTAACTGTTTTTGAGTTCTTGAAGCATGATAATGTAATAATGAGGGATTAGATTTGTTCTATATGGTTCCAGAGGGCAGAACTTGGAGCAATAAGTAAACAGTGCAAAAAGGCAGTTTAGACTTAGTAATAGGAAAAATGTTCCTAACAATTAAAATGTCTCAAATTAGAATAGACTGTCTGAGGAAGTAGGGGGTTTGACCTCACTAGAGATCATCAAGAAAAAGTTAAATAAGCCCTCGTCAGGGATGTGTCACTAGAGACCTCTTTACAAATCAAACAGCACCTTATTTACTTCATTTGGGTCTCACTGTTCAACCAGTTCTGAATTGACCTAATTGTGCCATCATCAAACCAAATTTATCCATCTTGACAAAAATAGCATTACAGTTTATCAAATGTTTTGCTAAAAGCATCATTCCTCTAAGGTACCAATTCAATAACTCATTTATAAAGGGAAATGATTTAGTCTAGAATTATCTGTCCTTTGATAAGAAAGAGTTGGTATTATTTTGTTATTAAGCATTGTAACTATTTCATTAATATTTCAATGATTTAATTAGTATTGTGTAATTAATAATTTAATCATGTAATTAATAATTTAATGAATACTATAATTGTTATAATGAATAAATATCCTTATTATTAAGTAATAGCAGCTCAGAGAGGTTGTGTGATTTGACTGAGGTCACATAGCAAGTTGTACGCTCTTTACTGTCAGAGCTAAAAATGTTAATAACTTTTGTGTAATTTTGATTTACAGATAAATAAATGCTTTTTCAAGGGATCCATGAAAGACACATATGTGTGTATTATTGGCTGCCTAGTAATCTATTGTTCTATTTCTCTATTTTTTCCCTACACCAGACAGCTTTGAAGATAACCACTTTGCAATGTTTTAAAGTATTGGAGAGCAAGATCATCTTTATGTGTTTTCTTATAATTTTGCCTGTTTATTTTTCTTCCATATACATTTCATTACACTTTTAACCAGTTTGTTTCATGTATTTTACCTTGGTAACTTTCATATTCATCCCTTCCTCTTCACCCACACTAGCCTCATTAACTTTTTCAAGTCAAATCAATAAATATTTATTAATCATCTTCCATGTGCCAAGCCCTTTGCAGGCCACCTCCAGAGAGAGAGGTAATAGAATCAGAGTGCAAACTGAAGCATATTTTCTTTTCTTTCTTTCTTTTACTTTTGTCTGATTTTTTTTCAGACATGTCTAATGTAGGGATTTGTTTTGCATGACTATATACATTTATAATAAGTTTTATTTTTCTTACCTTCTCAGTGGGGGGGACAAGTGGAGGGAGGGAAAGAATTTAGAACTGAAAATGAAATAAAATTGTATTTTCAAAAAATAATCTGATGGAGGAAACTGTAATTGAAATTATTCACTTTACAACTCACACTGTTCTCTATTTCTTGTTTATTCACAAATTGTTCAATTATCCATAAGTCTGATAAGTACTATGTTCCATGTTCTTCAAATTTTCTTGTAATATCTCTTTATATCTAGGTCATATGTCTATTTTGATCTTATCTTGGTCCTTTTTTTCCACTTGGTTATTCTTCCTCATATTTGCACTAATCCCTCTAGTATCATGAGTCCCATTCACACTCCTTAATGAATTAATAATTCCTACAACCTGTTTGCTCTATTTATCTAGGTCAACATTGCTCACAGAATTTAGAAGGCAAGTCTAGTCAGTGGTAATATTTGAGAGCCCCTGAAAAGCTTACCTGACCAAAATTATCCTGAACCATATTCTGGGGTCTGAAGTTCCCAGCACTGTGATCACTCTCCTTGGAAGTGATGGTGATGTAATCTGAGAGAAGCAATACATTGTCATGTGGTGCAGAGAAAAGAACATAGGACATGGATATAAGTTGGAATGGATTTTAGTTGTAAAGGATGTGAGTAGGAATCCAAAATCAAACACTTATTTAACAGTTTACTTTTTTGTACAGTTCTTTACTTCTCTGAAACTCTGTTCTTCATATTTAAAACAGTGCATGTTTGTGGGAATTTAGTGGAGAGAGTAATACTTACATTGCCTCCTCCCTGGGCAGTTTTAAGGAAAGTATAAAGCTTAAAATCTCTGTCACTAAACACTTTAACAGAGGTTCTTAGACACTGAACTGACCAAGATAGTCATGAGGAAGAATTCATGAGCTTCTCTCTATGAATAAAGTCATAACATAGTGGCTACTTCTCATCCATTTCACTCTGGACCATTTGCCATCATTGTTGAGCCAGAATCCTGTGCAAATTGAGGTGTTCCATAAATGCTAGTCATTTCCCTGAGATAATTATTTTTGAATTGTTATAAGAATTCCTCCCGAGTTTTAGTGGCCACTCCGTGTTCTGAAATCCTATAGACCTTACTTTCTCTATTATACATACAACACTTATTATATTCAGGAAGTCTCCAACACACCTACACACACACACACACACACACACATATATATATAAATATGTAAGTATACCTTTCATAGTGACCTACTCACATGTTGCAGATTTCTATCTCTTGTAGCCATTTCCTTTCCCTATCTTTGCTGATGAGTTCGAGTTTCCTCTCAAAGCTTTCTGATTACTTCTGGGCCTATCTCTAGTAGTAGGACTGGTGGAGGAAAACATAAAGGGAATGAAATATTATCAACATCCATTATCATTGCTCCTTCACCTTTCCTTAACCAATTCCATTTGCCACTGGCTTCTCCACTTTGTATCAGTTCATGTAAATCTTTCTAGGCTTTTCTGAAAGCATCTTGGGGGTATAGAAGGATGTCTAGATTAATGGGAATGGGATAAAAAGGGAACATATATATTTGAAAGGCTATAAAAGTTTTCTAAATTCAAATGGAAACAAGAGAGTAAGGGGAAAAGATGAGGGGAGAGGACAAGGTAAGGATCTTTTTAAGGGGTAGGTTAAGTAACAGGAGGATGAGGTAGTGGGTAGAAGTAAAGTAGAGTAGTCGGGGGGATAGGAAATAAGGGACACACACAAACAAAATAAAAATCAGGAGTAGAATTTATTAGAAAAAAAGAAAGGGTAGTAATCATGGTGTCAGGCAAAGTTAAAGCTAAAATAGATTTAATCAAAAGAAAAATAGGGAAACTACAATATTTCTTAGTCATATTAATCAACATTGTTTTATACTATTTGAAATAACTAGACAATACAAGGTTGGAATATTGCTGTGGGGTAGGAAATGATGAGTTGGTGGACAT